ACACCCTGCTATTTTGCAAGTTCTCCCACTTAGAAATCATGGAGGGGTCTGAAATTGTCATCGTAGGTGCATGTCCACTGTGAGAGACATAATCTAAAAAAAAAATCCAGAAATCACAATGTATGATTTTTTAACTATTTATTTGTATGATACAGCTGCAAATAAATATTTGAACACCTGTCTATCAGCTAGAATTCTGACTCTCAAAGACCTGTTAGTCTGCCTTCAAAATGTCCACCTCCACTCCATTTATTATCCTAAATTAGATGCACCTACTTTTTTTCCTCACTGTATATATCTGAACACACACAAAACACCAATGTTCCTGATGGTCTTTACATCCCAGGAATGTGTCTGTTTATCTCTTCCCTTAGAGGGATGATGAGAAGGGGAGGGGTTAACACCCCCCAAACAGCAGAAACATTCAGCCTTTGGACAAATTATTTGAAAGTAGCTGGTTACGGCCATGCCCTCTGTGTGTCCTTGGCGGAGTTGTAAATTCAATCTTAAATTTTCTTTTGTTACAAGCAGTTTTGTGGTTAGTAATGTACATATTAACACTCCATCTACGCTCCAAGAAGTGGAAATTAAAAGCAACCATAGACATATTTTTAAGTTAAGAAAACAGCTAAGGTCTAGAAAGAAATTTAAAATATTCTTGGAAATAATGTCAGTTGGTTTAAATGCAAAGTCTTACATAATGACAAAGTGTGGCCTGAGTCATAGGAGTCCTAACTTCTGCTTGATGGAAACCAGAAACCATTGAAAATGGCGGTATCAGGTTATGCCATGTATCAAATCATGACTTGTCTATTCCTTTTTTTGTCTCCAAACGAAAACCAGTGGACAGGCAGGAATTGAAATGTTTAAAAAAAAGGAGGCCACTAGGTGTGAAAAAAGGATTTGAATACTGAAATAAAAACAACAAAAAAATGCAAAACTACAACAATGGTTGTAAGGGAGAACGAAGCATTGACCTGCAACGTCAGATTAAGATAACGTGAACAAGTTGGTGTGATAGCTTATTATTGTTTAATTTATATTTTAGTTTCGTAACATTTATACATACTTGGCTTTGTGGAAGCTCAACCAGCAGAGGTCACTCTACCCCTACATGGGGTGCCCATACACACATACATACTTACAATATGCAGTGCTAAGGGCCGGGGGCCGTGGTTAAAGAGAGGAACTGAGGAGAAAACTGTGACGGAAACTAAATTACAAATTTACTGAGGTAGACCTCTTCATTCTTCAATTCAAAAAGGAATAATGCCAAAACCCCAAAATGGACTGTTTTTGATTGTTTTTTTGTTTTTATTTATTCTGATAGTGACACAAATAACAGATATAAAAGAATTAAAAATGAATTAGGATTGGACCCAAACCTAACACATGCAAAGGAAACTACAAAGACAATCAAACCCACAAAGAAATGCAAAACGACCACAAAGAGTCCACCAGTGGCCTGTGCTACAAAGGAAGGTAATTGGCTTATCCAGGTAACTTCAGGAGTAACTTTGTGTCGTCGGGTGTAACCTCCTGATTAACCCATAGCCCACTACTCCTGACTTGATAGGTGTCACCTGAGGTTTGTTGCCATGGCAATTTACGCTGCATCTCTAAACTGCTTCGAGCAGCTTATGTTCGTGGTTAACTCGTGGTTACTCTGTATGAGTGGGCTACACACCACACCTGTACTCAGTGTTAATGATGGGAAGTTGGATATTAATACACACCACGTGATAAAATACTTTTAGATTTCATCCTGACTTGTTCCACTGCGGTTGCAGCTGAAATGCAGTTATTCTTAACACAACAGCATTACATTCACACAGCGAGCCCTGCAGCCTCTGTGATTTTAGAGAGGAGATCTTAATTAGGCTAATTAACGGGACAGTTTCTTAGATGTAGCCCATCGTTAGGCTATAATTGAATTATCCTAAGTGTTTTCACATATTTAGATGTATTATTTTATGTGTCCAAAAAATAAGGAGCCAGGGTGGGGGTTAATAAACCGAGAAAAAAATCCTAGATGAAAGTGTCAAATTTACAAGAACAAAACTTGGAAATTCCCTGAAATTAAGTCACAAAAAATCTAAATCACTCTGGTGTTTTCTTCTGAATACGAACAATCCATGGCAAAGTCTCTAAGGTGCATGATAATATAGGCCATGGGCTAAATTATTATTATTGTTATATTATATTATTATAGTATTTCATCACTCCTCAAAGTGAATCAATGTGGTTCCTTGATAAAAACAAACTAGTTTCTCCCATAAATGTATAAATACAATGTCAGAGAATATATTCAAGTTTTTAACTTGTAGATTTGTGATGTTAGGTTCTCGTAAATCTTCCACAGTAATCTAGGAAATTCTATCCCCCTCTCCCCTGGCTCCAATTTCTTTATTACAATGGACATTACGGGCTGTTGTACCTTTACATCTTAATGATATTACACATAAAATACATAACAATGAATTAGCCTACAATGCACTGTGAAGATAATTACAAATTTACTCCATATACTCCTCCCTGGCTTTGTCGGCCACCATGATATCAGATTTGAGTGTTAAATGTGTCTTTAAACTCCTCGTATCCTGACACTATCAATGTGCATTCATCTGTTAAAAATACGGAGCATGAAAAAACTGTGCCTGCAGCCTAACACACCCCTTTTATGCAAACGCAAACCAACTCAACACTGACTCAACTAACCAGCATCTTATTCACTGTCGTAGTACAGTTTAACGTCAGTGTCGGCGTTCAGAGTTTGTTTGGTAACCCTGAGTTAACTCTGAGTTGGTTGAACTCCCTTCGTAGAGGCCACAGGTGTAAGAGATTACAAAGAGATGCATAATAACAACCACAAAGAGACCTTTTCCACCTACATGGAAGCAGCTTTTTTCCAGTTCGCACACTTAATTTTCAACTAAAAGTAAATTGGTTTGGAACTTAAAAAGTTGGTTCCAGCTGGATCTAATAAATCTAAAAGGTTTTCCTTGATGTGAACTGCGACCGAAGTGGGTGTGTCATATTCTACAGGTCAATCAAAACTGGTGAAAATGAGGGCTGGTTCGCTAAAGGTTCCAAGAATCTCTCTCTCTCTTTCTCTTTCTCTCTCTCACACTGTTGGCTCTCCCTCAGGGAGGTATGAGTTGAATATGCTGAAAGAAGATTTCAGCATAACTGGTGCATTGGGTTAGGAAGTGAAGCTCCGTCTCGCTCTCTCTCTCTCTCTCTCTCTCTCTCTCACACACACACACACACACAGAAACACAAACAAATAAAATACCCACTTCCTCTTCTTACACACACTTTGGCTGTTTGAAAATTGACATACACAAAACATTTGAATTTGAAGTAAGTTGCGAAACTTAAGTCATTATACAAATAACTTAAATATTAAAAGAGAAAATGAAATAATGATTTGCACAGTAAAAAAAAATTGAAAGCCCAGAATATTCCCACCCTGAGATAAATACTTTCCACTGCTGGTGTCTGTTGCTGCTCTGTAGGCTGCTGGAGGAGGAAGCTGGGGGGATTACCAGATTACCAGGGAGTTCCCCTCCTCCCTTCCACGCTGTGTAGCTGTTGAGGAACTGTTACTCCACTGGAAACTTTCTCACTACATCGTAACAACTAATAGTACAGAGCCAGCTAACAAAGGCAAGTCATGGTATCTTATGTAATACCAAGGCTAAAATTATCCACTGTCACTGATGATGAAATCACAGGAGCACTCTTTGGCATTCTACTTGAAACCAGTGCCAGAACTCTCCACTGTCATTTCATGAGTAAGTAAATACCAGCTGTCAGGGCCATCATTAAGGATTCCTTTCGTTTGATTTGGATGTTTTTAATATTTACCAAGTTAATCAAAATAAATGAAAATAAGGGTTTTATAACAGAAGCATGCTGTACGTAGACTTTCACTGGAGAGAGAATAATAAACTGGGGGTTATTACTCAACACCATTTTTAGCCACCTCAGCGCGGAATTTCTAATTTGGGAACAGGGTAGAGCTGACGTGGGATGAGTTAGAGGAATGAGTGAGTGAGCAGAACCACCACAACTGACTGTGATAGGCTGGAGAGACCTGCCAGTTAAACCAACATGCTTCTGATGTCACAACATTTTGAGCTGTTTTTTGTTGTTTGCTGTTGTCAGTCTGCCAGTAATATCGCCCACCATTACAGACCATTTTTGCCCTGTAAACTTTCCTCATCCCCCACGACCTTCACACTCACATGCAATCATGCTCCCAAATCCCTCCCCACCTGCCCACTATACATACATTTTCATGTATGTAGACATGAGCATTTCATTAAGGCAGTTGCATCTTGATTCATTTTAAGCAATGCAAATGACCAGATCCACCACATTTGCCAAAATAAAATTCTGGTGATTTATGAAGACTAAAAGCATCTCTGCAGCAGTCAAAGCTCCATCCGGAGGGTTCACCAATGTTTTTGTTCGTCCCTTAGGTACACAGCATCACAATTCATGCGTGCTTGTAAAATGTGCTCTAATATGTGTTTATGATAATCACATCACAAAATTTTTCATCTAATCATGCAGGAAGTTTTGGTTTCTAATGAAGCTGGGGGTGCTACTACATTGCATTGGACTGGTGGCAGAAATCTCATAGAGACAAATATCTCAGAACCTTGCAGATAACAACCATCCAAACTATCTGTCTGACATGACAGCATTGGGTCGAATTTTGGAGAAGTGACACAGCAAACAGTGTGATTTTTAGTGTGTGTATGTTACAACCAGGTTCTTCCACAGTTCACTAGAAGCACACTGTTTTTTGTGCCTTGTAGTTAACCACAAGGCTGCAACTTCCTCCCCACCAGCATCAGGTGATTCTTTCTTCCAGCTGTCAATCAATAATTTGCCCTGTTAGGCATAGGAAAGTTTGTTTGTTTTATATTTTCTAGTTCCACATCCAAGTTCAAATACAATAAACACAGCCCTTGCAGAAAAAATATGTTTCAAAGTCATTGTTTATTCAAACATTTTTACAGCACCACAGGCACCATGGCATTATTTGCAAATGTCAATAAAAAGTTACAGTGATAAACAAATGATTAAAGTGAGTCAATAAATATTTTCATAAATTATATATAAAATCCAGCACAAATACGGTTTAGGACATTCTTTAGAAGAACACATGGCAAAATACACAGAAATAAATAAAAACATAAATAAATAATTCAATAAGTTAAATATAATAAATATGATAATGTTACGTTTTATAAATACATATTCTTTAGAATCCTTTCTGTCGGCCTGTAGTGACTCAACAAATACGCAGCAGTTATAGTACATTCATGTCAAAGACAGTGATTGAACATTGCAGTACAGCAAAAGGTACTGACACTAAGGCTATGTACTAATAGTACATTACATTACAGATAGATACATCTACGATAATACATTACAGGGGGCTCTTTTGGTTATTGCTCCCATTAACATAACTCGATTTACTTGCAAACTTTGAATTTGATTCTCATTAGACTTGAATCAATTCAAGTTTGGGCGTAAAGTCTACACTGAAAGTTGCATTGACTGTTTAGTGAGGTGTAAAACTTCTGTTCACCCAACATTCCACTGTGTGAGTGAGTTCAGAGGGATTGATGTGTATTCACATCTTCACCTATTGCCCTCAGTCACCTGTCCTCATAAGGAAAATGCACCAAAGAAAGTTTCTCCCTGAGCATCCTCCAGGTTGAGCAGCATCTTCTCCTCCATCACTGTCTTCAGTTTGTCCCCTCTTTTCAGGTTGAACACAGCTCCCATGTACATGGCCGTGAACCAGCTCTCCCCTTGATTTGAACTGCTGCTGGTTGCCTTTTGGCAGGCGGTGCGGACAGAGTGCAGGATGGTCTGGTACGACTTGTTGTCGTCGTCACCATACGAGGTGGACCAGCGCTGAACAGTATGGCTCAGATGGACCATGGATGAAGTGGTGGTGTCATCATCATCACTGCTGCTGCACTTGACCCTGAAGGACGCTTGGCTGTAAATGAAGTAGAGGCCGTCTTGAGGAATCACTATTTCATTGTCAGTGAGTTGCAGTCCTCCCTGAAAGTGGGACTGGTCCACCTGGTTCTGCCATTGCACTGAGGTCTTCATTTCAGGGTTGTATTCTCCTGTTAAAGAGTAAAAGGAGATGGTGAGGGAGGTGATCACAAACGTCTGACAGTTGGAGTAAAATAAGAATCATTTACTAAGGCAACCTTGAAACATTTTTCAGCAAGGTCGGGGAGCATTAGGAATTACTATCCATCAGAATGGGATGGAATAAATTAGGAACATGTACTGCCATTTTACAAAAGGGTTGTAAGATTAGATGCAGTTTGTAGTTCCCTCTATGCTACAAAGCAAATGAGATATACAAAAATGATAAAATTATACAGAAATAAACTAGTGGGAGTCATTTCTTATGGAATGCATTACAGTGGAGAAAGTCTGTTTCTTAATTTATTCTTGAGCAGCAATCCTCAGCTCAATTCCTAAACAGATGATTAAGCCCTTGAGCAAATATATTTTTCTTGACATCAATTTCCCCACACTGTGCTTAATATGTGTATCAAAAAGCCCTATGGATTGTTTGATGCTGAATGTGTCTCTTGTTTTTACCTTGTAAATGAATGGCCGCTCTTCCGTTTGAAATTTGCCTCAATGTGTGACGATGATCTGGAAAGAAGAGAAGACAGAGTTTTATAGGTATGCCAGGACAGCTCCACTTTGTGTGATCTTCTGGTGCAATTCAGCATCAGAGCAGAATAAGTCTCAACTAGGGTTATACTGTTACATAGAAAACCTGAAATGTCTGACGAGATCTGCTAGTGATCCATTAAAAGTACAGTATTGACCCTCTGAGAGAATTAAAGGAAAAGTTCTCACCATTATTGTCTTCATCTTGTCCTGAGCCCTGTTTCAAGAAGAGAAGAAGAAATACACTGTTATAGAATGGCTGGGTTGAGGTGATTTAGGCAACTTGCTGTGAGGGACTTGCTTCAATAATTCAGTCTAATCTAAGACCTACCTTGGTATGACTGTTGAAGACGAGGACAGCAGCAGCAGCAGCGAGGCAGAGTGTGAACGCCAGCAGGGCCGTGGTTAGCTTGGAACTGGGTTTGACACTTGCCGTTGTCTGCTTCCTTGCTTCTATGTCGACAGCGGCGTCCAGCACTACCTTGCATTCACCTTCCATTGTTTGAATGATGTTCCTTAGCAGCCTTCTTGAGAGCTTTCTTTCTTTTTCTGCTGCCGCTCTGGTTTGTTGACTGACACTCAGCAGGCAGCTCTTTTAAAAACAGTTTCCTCCTGGGGGGAAACTCCAGTGATGTCACTCATTGAGTGAGTGGAGATTTCAAGAGGAATAGAGACCCAGAGCCGGGGACCACACACTCCTACACACATGGCATCTGTATGACTGTGTTATCCCAGTAGCACAAACACGCCAACTCAGTGCACAGAAACACCCACAAGTCAACAGATTGCCAAAAATTGCCAAAAATTTGTCACACTATCAGTGTATGATATTGCATTATGATATAAGTAAAAATAAACTGCAACTGATGTGTCACTGTTGATTTGTGCCATTCGTTGCGCCACTTCCCTTTTGTTCAAATATAGACTACATGAAGATATTTAATAATCATGTGTAATATTTCCAGCGTATTGACCAGTGTCAAGGTGACTGTGAAAAAGTACAGTAACAGTAGGGCTACAATGTAAAAAGATAAAGTGAAGAGCAGTCTGTAAAACCTTTTTATAATAAATAGGTACATTATATTGGAATTAAAGGACCTTATGTGACAGCTGACCAAAAACTGTGAATACTGTGCTTAAATCATTCTCATGACAAAACAATCTCACCACAAGGCCCATTTAGTTTTGGAGCTTTTGACCTCAGCATCTTCATCATGGATTCTGTAAAGTTATGGAATTGTAGATGTTTAAATTTCCTTTTTCTTTCTGAAAACTGTAAGGACTACTTCACCCTCATCTTTACAGAGTCCTACTCCATCAACACCCCTGATGCGGCAGGTGGTCCAAGTTCTGAGCACACAGCGCGAGACTCCGGCAGGATGAGGAGGTGGACTCAATGCAGTCACAGTTGACACTGTTTACCAAGTGTCAAACTTTCTATGTGAAGATGAAAACCATATTTTCATTCCCATCTTACTGCTGTGTACTTTCTCTAAGTATTTCCTGGATGTACATGTATATAAATAACTGTATAGGCCTTTAATGTTTTATTTCATTTATTTCCTGAAACTAATATTTCATAGCCAGTCAAGATGGTGTCTATGACAACATCAAAGCACTGCCATAAGTAGCAGTAACAACTCAGATGAGCAAGAATGAGTGTGGATGTTTCATGTCTGTAAGCAGAAGGAGTATGCATGGGAGAGTTAGTCAGAGATTGACTCAGCTCAATGAAGATCAATGAATCCGAGCTGAAGGAAAACCAGATGAGGTACAGTTGTCTGGTCTTTTCATCGTAGTGTAAGAGTAATATATATATAAAAACATTTCAACCACAGTGCTGGCACTTCAAAAGTCACTTTAGACAAGCTGTCTGTTGTAGAAAAAGCAAAACTAATACGCACAAAACATCCATCCCACACTATCACTTCACTTTGAGATTGGATTGACTTCTTGACCCTGTAAACACACCCTGATAGAAAGCCACTCAGTTTTTTCTATCCCAAAACAAGAAAATCAAACTTTCTTCGTAGAGATAATGTAGAAGAAAATATGGTGATTTAATCATACAAAATTTACAGTTTCAGTTTCATTATCAGTTTATGAAGTTAAGATTGTGCAAAATAGCAGCAGTTGTCACATTAAGGAGGGTTTGTGGTTGTACCACAAATCTCCTATCAACCATGTGACTCCATCATAGAGAATCAGAGTTTTTATTCTTTACGATAACAGCACACAACTGTCACATTTTATGTCTACAGTGGGCGAGTTTTTCATACTCAAATGTATTTTGGGTGGAGTATCACCTCAAGTTGCTAAATGAGATCACTGATTGTAAGATAAGCATGTGTTGTTCAAAATATATCTTTGGCTGGTCACCAGCTAAAGCAGTATTTATGGTTAGATGTAACTGGAAAACCAACTGGAAAAGTGTCCCATCACATACAACTTACAACTCTCTTACTTTTGTAGTTTTTTGTTTCCATAAGCTATGAAAACTGTGACATCACTCCGAAAAAGTCCAAATGGGGAAGAAACAAAATAAAAATCAGTTAATTTATTTGGAGGATAAAACTGAAAGTGAATGCACCCAAAATGCGTAATAATACCGGATTTCACGAAAAACTATGTATGTGTGTATACATTTCTACACTTATTGTAGAGGGCGGCTGTGGCTCAGGAGTTAGAGCAGGTTGGCTGTTAATTGGAAGGTCAGCAGTTCAATCCCTGGCTCCCCCTGGTTGCATGTCGAAGTGTCCCTGGGCAAGATGCTGAACCCGGCTGTTCCGCCTGTGTGTGAATGTTAGTTTCTGTTTGAGCACTTAGGAATGTGTATGACTGGTGAATGCAGATGTTGTGTAAAAGCGCTTTGAGTGGTTGAAAAGAAGAAAGGTGCTATACATTTACATTGTTGCAGTGACCTTGGTAGCAAAGGAGGAAGCTGGCTGACCTATAATAATAGGCAGAAAGTTCACATAAGGAGGTAGGTGTGAAACCACGTAAATGTTGACTTTTAATGTCATTGTATGTTATCTAACGTTTAGCACTCCTTTGTGTCATAGTGAGAGGCATGGATAAACAAACTATGTTGTCGTTTAGGTTGGAGGACTTAATGTAGGCTGCAGTGTGCACTGTATGTGCACTTGAAGGTGACTGGGTACATACACAATGCATAGAGAATGTGAGGGACAGGAGTCTGTGGGGCCCACAGCTCTTTGTTGCCCCTGGGCCTCCTATTGGGTTAATTTGGCCCTGATCAAACTTAACATAAGCTACCCTCACTGTAAAAAAAAACAAAAAAACATTGTGAGCTGGCAGGTGCAGCTTGAATATATTTTTTTTGATTACCTTAATGAAGGCCAGTGTTATCAATGTTCTGGTTTTACAGTAAACTTGTTCTCTAAAATACTGAAAGTGTTGTTGCAGTTGTTGTGTTGTTTCACTGAAATTTGTGACACATCAGATTCTGTGACAGTAGAAGTCACCTATGACAAAAAGACAAGTAGAACCTACTAGCCACTGCTTTCACCACTGCCACCTGCCACCATGTGACCTCATTACCTGAATATAATGGGGTCATTTCGTATTCAACTAAAACACAGCAGTATATTAGGTAAATTCCACAGCAGTAAATTAGGCCAGAAAATGAGATGTAACATTGGAATTTTTACCCTGAGCTGCATTTAAACAGCAGGTTGTCACATGGTCAGTAACCACTCAAGCTACGTTCAACTAGATGGATTTGCAACAACGGAAAGTGGGTTTGTTAACAATATACTGAAAGTTAACAGATCTTATGCTTTGCTAGCTAACAAGCTGACATTACCACATCCACAAAATGAGTAATATGTATTTTTGTCATTTATCTGAAAGGAGCACAAAACATTGTCTGGACTGCAAGTTGCACATTTACTGTAGACACACAGTGAGCTAGTGACAGCTATTGCAGAATACAAACCTCTAAAATGGCCACTAAATGCTGTGTTATGTCACCTGTAATAACTGCTTCAATTTTAAAAATGAAATGAGAACAATTCAAGTTCGATTTTTTTACTTTCTTTTTTATTGCAAGAACCTCATCTCATTTTAACTACATTGTTTTAAAATCCAATTCAACCCAAAGCCAAAGTAGCTTCACATAGAACTGTGGACAGAATCCTTAGAAATTTGTTTTATATTGTGGTGGTAGTGAAAATATGGGCCCTCAGACACACTGGCCTGAACCACAAGACTGTATTTAAACTTGATTATCATGAGTAAATTGTATCATTGTAGTGACACACACCAATAAAATACAGAATTAACAGATCTGAAAAGACAGTATTTATGTAACACTTACAAAACATGTTATGTAGAAATCTATGAAATAAAGAGGGAAATTAAAGCATTGACCTCAAATGTCATTTGACATTTTATTCAGTGAGAATGACTAAACTTACTTTTCCAGTGAGGGTGACTTTAGTAGGAGGGGGGTCTACCTGACAACAACACAGGAAGGACGTGAAAAAGAGAATCTTTTCCCATAAACTATCCCCTGTATGGTCTGTAGCCCACCTTCACATAGATTTTGCATTTCATTTGCATTTAGGATTTGAAAATATTTGTGGAGAAAAAACTCCCTTCATGTTGCTGTACATCACCCTGCTCATCACGTTTTTTCAGTTTCTAAATCTGCCACAAAAAGCAAACTCCCTTCATCTAAAAAAAGATTTTATATTCTCCCGAGAGTCAGACAGTGAGAGTCAGTGTTTCTGTAGAGTGGCCCACTGCTAAGCTTCCTCATTACAAGATGAGAACAACTTAATCTTGTTATACAGCCCTCTGTTGTCAGGCTTCAGACCCAAAACCAGACTGCAGACAAGATATGAGATTTAAAGTTATTTTATTGTAACATTAATAATGTACTGTGGTTGCAGGTAAGTGGGGCTGGGGTTTGATTAGGGTTCCTGGGTCCAAACGGTTCGGGCTGAGTATGGCAGAGAGATGAACACGGCTGTTCCAGGGAACAATCCAGTTGTAAGAGTTGTTTCCAGGGTTGAAGACAAGGAGATTCCATTTAGTGATGCAGACAGGTAAACAGAAAACAGGAGCAAACAGACTTTCTAGAAAGTGACAACTAGTAGTCTGGTGTGGGAGCATACTAGACATGACTCAACAATCCAGCAGGGACTGGAATGCTGGTCTGGTCCTAAGTAGGCTGAGGTGATTTGGGAGATGAGGGACATGTGTGAGTGCTGAGTGTAGTCAGGTGAGTGTACATGCCAACCAGGGAAATCGAAGGCCCACCAACTCCATACAGAGCATTAGAGAGGGAAACACAACACAGACAGACAGACAAAAAACTAACCAACCACACAGCAGTCATCCCAAAAGGCTAAATAAATCAAAACACACTCACTCTTATAACAGATGTCACCATGCAGCTGTCATGGTTGGGGGCCATGACAGTTATAAAATGACAAATTAAGCTACCTTTTATGTAGACATCCACATATACCAGGTAGGTCATCAGCTCAAGTTACATTGTAAATCACATTTTAAGATATTTGATGTACTTCCTCTTAAATCAGAAAATAAGGATAGAACATGATGCAGGGAGAGATCTTTCAAAAGTTTAACCAGTGGAATTAAATTTTTTGAAATGTTACAGAACTGAAAAGAGGCAGCCCTTGAAGTTTATTTTATGGGGGAGTTCCTCCCTGTTGGAGGC